CATAGCGCACCGCACTGGTTTGCACATTGCGCGACCTCGGTGCTTTCTTGCCGTATTTCCATTTTTAATCGTGAAAATGGGACTTCTTTTTAATCTCACTCTTTGTTATGAACTGTTTTCACTGTTTTTAAAAAAGGAGATACGACAAGAAAGCACTGAGGTCGCAATTGATTGAACCGCTGTGACGAGCGTGTTGAGGAAATCCTATGTACCGGTGTCGCCACAAGCGTTTTTCACCATTTTATTTTTGCCCAAACCCATTTTGAGGGGCTTTTTTGTTCAATTTAAACATGTTCCCCAAGGTTGATTTTGGTTGAATTTTTTGTGGATATACTTTATACCCTAAAGAACAACTTCACGCAAAAATTTGGTTGTTATCTCTCATGTCCAGGTTCACACCTTTTTCATGTCAATTTTTACTGGCCTGAAGTGCGTCACGTTATCAGCAATCTTACCCGGAGCTGGCTTTTCGGTCGTTATAGTTTTGTTTTGTTTTTTCAACCTGGAAAAAAGACTAGGAAGATGTGAACTCTGACCGATAACTACATGTACAGCAAAATCAAAATAAAGTATGGTCAAGGGTCAAGTGTTCCAGTTTTGATCATATCAACTTGATATGGAGAAATTTAACACTCGACCCAACGTTATTTGATATAACTATTGTTATAACTTCCTGCTCTCTCACGCCCCCCTCTGTTAAATGCAGAGTTACAATTTCTTCCAACCTTTGTACTTTAGATGAAAAAGAACACGCAATTTAGCAGCGACATAAATAGCGATTCAGAAATAGTCTAATTAGAGGCATGCGGCCTGGGTTTGTTTATAATTTCGTCTTAGCAGTTGCTGCAGTTTCCAATTTCATCATATCATTATAATCTTCATCGTCATCATCATTGCCTTTCTCACCCTGCACCAGGGTATAGGCCACGGACAAACACTTTCCACCTTTCTCTACTCTGGGCTAGCCTCTTGATGTTATTCCTTGTCTTCCCAACTTTTCAGTTAATCAATTTTTGTGATTCTTCTTCAGGTTCTATGCGGTCTTCCCTTTTATCTTTTACCCTGTGGATTCCAATCCAACATTTTCTTTGTTATGCAGCTGCCTGACTTCCTGAGAGCATGTCCAGTCCATCGCCACCGCCTTCTTCCTATCTCATCTCTGACTGGGATCTGTCTTGTTTTTCCTTAGCACTTCTTCGTTGGTGACCCTGTCTGTTCATCTGATCCTCAGTAACTTTCGTGGACAATAATTCAAGAAAAGCTGGATCCTTTTTATGCAAGTCTGTGATGTGTTCCTTGTCTCACATCCATACAACAGGACTGATTTCACATTTGAATTAAAAATCCTTAGCTTCGTTTGAAGTGAGATGTCTCTTGTTTTATGTCACTATAATGCTTGTTACAACTTCGTCGCATGCCTCTGGACTGAATGCATTTTGACGTGTTAGGTGTGTAGACAAAAAAGGCCAAGTTAATCCATTTAATTATTAAAGAGATTAGTCGAATTCCCTGATTCTGAAAGGCACAAACCAAATGACTGCCAGCCCCGATCGCCTTACTCCACAAAGGCCTGTCCTATTCTGAAATGTCTCAAATTAATATCACGTTAAGTTTTAAGTTGACTTGTTATTTATGCGCCATACGCTGTAGTGACAATCTATTAACTGCTATTTCTGTACAAAAACATTTGGTTTCACCAATATTTTGGCCATAAAACTAAGGTTATGAGCTTTTGCTAAGATTACATGCGCAAAGTATAAGGAAATTAGAACACACACCTGGCGAAACTGACACACATGCCCAAGGCTATAGGAAGCACGTTGTAAACTTGATATCTAGCAAGTAAATTATTCAATTTAAACACATTAAATGACCTGAATTAAACATATTCAAACTAGTGTTCAATCTTTTAGGACGTCTTTGTTCACACACCTCACAATTAATCACCGTTATGCAGAAGACTATGAGAGCCTTCTCGTCATGAAACTGTTAAAGTTCCAAGGCTTAGTAAACAGTATGATGCCTAGAACCTGACTTGATAAACAAGATGCTGTGTCTCGTTGACTAAATGTGACGAGTTATTTGCTATGCTGGACGGATGTTTCAACGTGGTTTTTAGCTATTTGATTGGGCAGAATGTTGGGTTATTTTAAATAGGGGATGAGAAAGGGTCTCGGGAGAGTGTCCCGACGAAAGTAGAACGCCATATATTGACTTAAAAATAAGCAACAGACTTGCGGCTTATAACGAGACTACTGAAAGTTTAATGGAAGGTAAAACAACAAATCCAAAGATGAGGTGCCTAAAGAAGCACGAGTGGGCTACTCACTAATAAAAACAATTAGGAGGACACACAATTTGTGCAGCTCTAAGACATTTGATTTGACATTTTTTAAAAACTACCGCTGAACACATTGATCTCACTGGAAAAAATAGAAGGCAAACAAGGCAGAGGTAGACAAAGAGCAACTTTTTTCGTGAACTTGAACAGGTGAGCAACGGGAAAGACCGGGCAGGACAACAGTTTAAAAAAAAATAGGCAACCGAGCAAAGAAATGATTGGCGAACCATGATCGTCCAAGTCTCACTCAGATGTGGCAAGGGCACTATCGTGGTCTAGAGGTTAAGGTGTCTGCCTCTCATTTAATAGGTCCCGGGTTCGAAACCTGACAGCGACGGAAAATTTTCTTCTCTAAAATTGTCTCCTTTCACCTCCTTTCCAGCACTCTTACCATGTTCTGTCGTCTGCTTTCGTCTACGATTTCTGCTCCCACCCCTCCCCCTTTGCCCACGCCTCTGGGCTCCTCTCTCTTTCTGCAGCCTTTTCTACTTCTACTCCTTGGCCCCTTCTTACTGCTGTCTTTCAGCCTCACCCCTGATCTTATGGTTTGTAAGAGCTAACACCCAGCCTTCTCTAAAAAAGGGCAACAAATCTCCGCGGTCTTGTGTGCAAGTTGTACACGTTTAAGATCCCTTGGTGGTTCAAAATCGATAAGAGTAGACTTCTGCCGCACCCGGGCAAAATTTAAAAAATTCCTACCAACCGACAATTTTTAATGTGCCCTAAGCACTCATTTGACCCTCAACAACAACACCAAAAAAAAAACAACCAAACCAAACAAAGAATAATCCTATGCGTTCTGCATTTCGCAATTTCTCGTACTTGACACGTTAACTCCATGAGACATCCGCCTCTTCCCCCTTCCAGCCGCCTCCTCACTCCTCTTTTGGCCTTTTAAAAATTCCTCAACAACTGGGTCCATGAACGCAATTCTTTTCATCCACCACTGTCGCATATGTATAAAACGAAGCGTTCGTTGGAGCAGTTCAGGCAATACCAGACAAGGAAGCGAGGACGTCAACAACAGCTGCTTGATTCACCTGGTAGGTCTGTGTGTTGTGTGAGTGAGCGATGATGTGTTCTACCCTTTGTGACCTCTAGTGCACGTGGTGCAGCGGTCATGCTTTTAATCGTTGCGCGGAAGACATGAGTATTTGCGCCCGTCTGCTGGGATGTTGTTTCCCACTCAGCCAGCGCTGGACCTGACAGGCAGGGACGGACTATATTATATATATATATATATATATATATATATATATATATATATATATATATATGTGTGTGTGTGTGTGTGTGTGTATAATATAATATATATGTGTGGCAGCGTACTGGAATCAGGCTCTCGGCAATTTTTGGCCATGCAGAGTTATTGGTATCATCTTAAAGCTTGTTCACTTGTCTTTATTTGGATGAAAAAAATATCCTTTTATCCTAAACACTAGTCGAGATATTTGAGAATGAAGGAGGTGGGGATCACCTGTTTTCAGAGGTAAAATTAGAGAGAAAATTGCCTCAAAAGATTAGTTATTTCTTTAGCCTAAGTGTCCGTGGTAACTGAGACTTTACATTTTTGGTGCCTTTAATCCACGTGTTTCAGAAAAATTCACTCAGAAATGAGTTCTTTAATGGGCATGAAAGGTGTTGAGCCCAAAAACAAAAATTTGACATAAATTCACACATTTTTTTTCACTTTGATTATTTTGACGAGAGCCTGATTCCACCACGCTGCCTCATATATATATATATATATATATATATATATATATATATATATATATATATATATATATATATATATATATATATATATATACACATTAATGTAACCACCCAAGCATGGGGTTAAAGCCTTGCTGTACCCACTCATGAAGCAAACCAATTTAAAGCTAAATAAATTCTACAACATCTGACACCTTAATACTTCATCTATGTTAAGAGGCACAAGATATATGGTCACTCAAAATTGGCCTTAAAAAATCAGGCTTGGCAAAATTGTGCGAAATCAAAGAAACGTAAAATTATCTTCGCGAATATATTGAAGAGAATAAATATTGATAAAATGGACATACATTGCAGATCCAATGAATGGAGAATTCTGTCCCTGCAATAAACAATAGTTTATTATGATACTTTCAAACAAAACGTAATGAAGAGGAATCATTAATACCACACAAAACTAAGACTTAAATTAATGTACACATTGGTTTTATGTTGTGCACGAACCCTTTGGGCATGGACTTTTTAAAATTTTGTACGTCATTATCTCTCAGTTCATCTCAAATGTCACAGAGAGTTGCAAACAAAGGGTCTAAATTGGGAGCAAAGTCGCTTTTCTTCAGCTGCTGTTTCATGGGACTCCATTTACCTGTAGGATTCATATCGGGGCTATTTACTGGTAACCACTCCAACGTTGATATGGTCTGTTTTTCCAAGAATTATCTATTGGAATTGATCCTGTGGGAAAATGCTTTGCTATGAGTGGAGATGTCTACTCAAATGACACCATAACGAAACAAAGGGTAAGACATGACGTTCCTGCACTTGCACGATGTAGTCCGCTAAACCAAGCACCCGGTGATTCTCACGACTGCCGTTTTGTTCATCGACCCTGGATCCCCCCCCCAAAAAAAAAAAAAGAAAAAAAAGAAAAAATTGTCATTGTCATTGTCCTTGTCATTGAATGTCAGTTTTGTGGCCTTTGTTCCGCAATAGATGATTAGATTCAAAGTCTAACTAACATAGTCCATGTGCAAGAAAAGTTTCGGAGAATTTATTTAGCTTTAAAATGGTATGCTGCATGAGTGGGTAGTACAGGACTTTTAACACGATGATTGGGTGATTACGTTTACCTCCAGCCAGCTGTGCCCTGTATGGCCGTATGGCTGTGGCGTCGGTGGCCTAGTGGTTAGGCTCTCGGACTCGCAACCGTAAGGTCGTGGGTTCGAATCCCGTCAAGGGCCCGACGTTGTGTCCTTGGGAAAGGCACGTTACACGAATTTTCCTCACTTCACCCAGGTGGGAATGGGTACCCGGCTATAGACAGCGAAAGATCTTGTCAGTTTGTTAGTGTTTGAGCGCTTAATCGGCTGCTCGCACTGTATGCTTCCCGGGAAGCTGAGAATGTTTCGGAGTGTTCTATGGTCTGCTGGGGTAATAATATAGTGTAAAAGCGCATAGATCCTGCTGTTGAGCGGGGATATGTGCTATACAAATGCTATCTATTATTATTATTATTATTATTATTATTATTATTATTATTATTATTATTATTATCATGGTGGGGATCTGCCTCCTGATTTCCTTCTCATGTGGATCTCCGCCTTCCTCTCTTCCTCCTTCTCTGGGGATTCTATCCTCGGTTTTGTCTTGTCACGTTGTAGACTGGCTTCTTACACGTTAGACAAACTCACCGCTATCTTCTTTTCTTGATCTCCCTATAAATTGGCTGTTGTTTGGTTCTCCTCCGTATTTCTAAATACACCGTGGTGTCGGGCCTATGGGCTTTCATGATCTCTCCCAGGCAACCACTAATGAAGGAGTGCAGCTTGTTTACTATCTGCTTGGTTCGTTTCCAAGTTTCCGATCCACACAAAAATACTCCTTTTTTACACGTGTCTGTCTACACATAAATATATAATATATTGAAAAATATATTTTATATATTATGAAAATTTGAATAATATAGAGGTACCAGCTATCTATGCTAAGGGGTTGTTTTAATGTATTATTTCTCCTATGTCATCAAATTAATATTCCCTTTATGTTATATGTATTATTTATCCTGTATCTGTGTGTGCTCTGATGTTGAACCCCACTCAGCCTGCTTTGGCCCTGACAGGCAGAGTCACATGGCGCTTGATGTTGAGAGGGAATGTGCGTTATCCAAACGCTAGTTAGCATTATAACCTACTAGTAATAAAAGTGCCCGTTCTACGAACGGAATAATAATGAAGAATTATTAGGAACGTTGAAAAGAGGAAAAAGACTGAAAAGAGGAAAGAAACAAAACACAAATATTTTACCTTGAATTCATCCGTGTAGCACCCCCTCTTGACTACCTCTAGGGGTAAGACTTCTTCTCCCTCTTCGAAGGCGTGGCATTTTCTCCTAAAGTTCCAGCTCAATCACTTTAAAAAAAAAGAGTTAGGCCTATTGTTGCTTCCTAGAAGAACCTAATCTAGATTCTAGATCTAGCCTAGATCTGGAAGGATTATAAAGACATAGGCCAATAATTGAAAGAAGGAGCATTGGCTCATAGATAGAATCTAAGTTTAGAAATTCACATTTTTAACAACCGACAGGCGTCACAGATGGCCTAGATTTCTAGATCTATTCACAGTAGGAAAAATCCACATTCAAGAATACTTTGATGATTCTTGATCTCGATCTCGATTCACCTACAGCCTAGTTCTAGACTCTAGATCTATTCACAGCAGGAAAAAATCCACGTTCAATACTTTCATCATTCTTGATCTTGATCTAAGATTCACATAGATCTAGCCTAGATCTAGATCTAGATCTTAGAATCTATAATGCTCCTCCTCCTCCTCCTCCTCCTCCTCCTCCTCCTCCTCCTCCTCCTCCTCCTCCTCCTCCTCCTCATTTTTCTTCTTCTTCTTCTTCTTCTTCTTCTTCTTCTTCTTCTTCTTCTTCTTCTTCTTCTTCTTCTTCTTCTTCTTCTTCTTCTTCTTCTTCTTCTTCTTCTTCTCCCACGACCTTACGGAAGAAGAATATACAAAGACATGTGATGCTAAATGTTCCGTAGACATAAAACGAAGAACTGCAATGGCTAAAGATAGTTTCAGTAAAATGAGCCCAATTCTGGAAGCCCAATTCTGGAAGCCCAATTCTGGAAAATAGAAACATCTCAATGGCCACCAAAATGAAAGCTCTGAAATGCTATGTTTACGTTTGGGCAACCCTTCTATACGCTGTGAATTCTGGGGAGTCACTTAAGACAGTGAAAATAAATAGAATAGAAACAACAGAAATGTGATTTCTTAGAAGACTACTGAGAATATCTTGGAAGGGAAAGAAATCAAAAGTACTTGAGGAAACCCACGTGGGTGGCTCGCTGATACAAACAACCAGGAAAAGACCTGGGACACTTGAATAGACGTAAAGGATTTGAAAATTTAGCTCCCATTGACAAAATTGAAGGCAAACGAGGCAGGGGTGGACCCAGAGCAACCTATTGGGAGAGCCTTATTAGATGGGTGACGGGGGAAGATCAAGAAAAGGTAGCTTTTTTTTTTTAGAGCATCCGAGCAATGGAATGAATGGAGAACCATGATCGTCGATGCGCTTTTCCCTTTCGTCAACCCGAAGCCGCATCCTGAATCGTCAGCCACATCCCAACCTTTGACACGGATCAAACTTCAATCTATTTATAGGTAGTTAGATCTACCGGAACATGTATTAGGCGAAGTGATGGGCAATGATAGTCGCAATAGAGAGATTGTTTTGGTCTCTCTTTACTCCTCTGTACCACACGAATTTGTTAATGTTTTTCCCTGGACTCTGCATTTACTAATGTCTCGAATCTAGATCTAGTTGTAATCTAGTTGCAGGTTGCAGATTTAATAAATGGCCGACAGGGAGAGAGGGAAAGGGGGGAGGAGTAGATCTTGTGAGAACTTCCGGGCAAAACAAAATGGCGACCCGCGTAGTTCGGCTCAATTCGAAAAGTGAAATAGTCATAGCATCTTTGTAGACGATCATCTTAGCTTATTCTTGTGCTATAACGTCATTTTTTTTCTTTGTTTTTGTCAATTTGATCACCCTCACCGATAGACAGTATTCCGAAATTAGAAAAAAAACAGGTCTTGTTTCACACCGGGTGAGAATAGCCAACGCTGGCAATTCTCACCCGGGGTGAAAGGTCGATCGTATTTTTATTCTCACCCCGGGTTAGGATAGCCACTTCCTTACTTAAACGATTATGTAATTAAACATGATCTCTAATTTACAATATAAAAGTCAATTTAAGCTTCATTTCATTAGAAAAATGTGTTAGGTTTGCTAACTTCTTAGACTTTGTGTTAAACATCACTTTTATTAACTTTTAACAAAACGAAGCCTTACAAGCCTAGGGTGGCCTTTGTAATCTCGAAGGTTTAGAAGTAGAAGTAGAAGAGTCTACTTCTAGAGTCTAGTCCAACATATTTAATCTCTTGAATGTACAGGATAACAGAAATCTGCAACCTGCAACTAGATTACAACTCTAGATCTAGATCTAGATTCGAGATTTTAGTAAAGACAGAGTCCAGGGAAAAACATCAACAAATTCGCATGGTGAGGAGTAAAAAGAGACCAAAACAATCTCAATATCGCGACTATCACGGCACATCACTTCGCCTATACATGTTCTGGTAACTACCTATAAAGAGATTGAAGTTTGACCCATGTCAAAGGTTGGGATGTGGCTAACGATTCGGGATGTGGCTGCGGTTTGACGAAAGGGAAAAGCGCATCGCCGATGTCTGTCTAAGTTTTGGCACTTGTTGATGACGATCGTCGTCTGCCTGCTGAAGTGTTGTATCCCACTCAGCCTGGTTAGGCCCTTAAAGGCCGGGTTGGGGGAGTCTGCCTTCTGAATGATCTAACTTGTGTTGATGGGGGAATTAGTCCCATACAATGACAGACATTTCATCAGATAGATGTAACCATGGAGACCTTCAATCAAAAGCAGAAAAGACTGATGTATGTTTATTGTAGCTTTTAGAAGTTTTACGCCACCTTCAACACAATTTAGATTTTTACGGAGCAGATTGTTTCAACCCTGTCTGTCAGGGTTACCGCAGACTGATTTAGGATACAGCACCCCATAAGACAGACGGAGATACTTGATAAAAATTCTCCCTACTCGAAAATCGAACTCGGATCTCGTGCATGAGAAGGCTTAATGTATAGCAGCTACACCACAGACGCCGTTCTAAGTGGGTTTACTAAAGAGAAAAAAGAGAGAGCAAAACAACAAAAAAAAACACACACACACACTCACACACACAGACACACATAAAAAACAGCAAGTAATCGTCGCTTTTTCTTAACATCTTGTGTTTCCCTTCCAACAGAACGACGTTCACGGCCGAAAAGTGGAAATCCACACACAGAACCTGCAACGACAAGAGCCTAACGAAGTGTGAAAACACAGTATCATACCACCGATCAAAGCAATCTTCACCAGCATGGTTTCCTTGAGGGTTCTCGTCTTGAGCTCAGTTCTGAGCCTCAGCCTTGTTCTCACAACGGTGTCAGGCGCTGGTACCTCGACAAGCGCAGATTTTTTCACTACGATTAACAAGGAGCTCAAACAAAAAGTGTCAGAAAAATGTTACAATGGCGTGGTCTTAGTGGAAAAATCGGAGAAAGTACCTAACGACCAGGCAAATGCTTGTAAAGTTGTCAAGACACCCGATGGGAAAGCGGTAGTCAAGAGTGCGGGTTGTACCGAGGAGGATTACGGTGCCCTCAAGACACTTGTGTGCAGTAGTCCTGCTGCCTTGACCGGAAGTATCATCATGCTGGTCATCCTGACTGTCTGTCACCGCGTGTTTTGAAAGTCTTTGATTCTGACCCCGTGATAACTGATAAAAACATCCAAAAGCTGGAACAATCAACCGACAACTTTTTTAACAAATACTATTTCAATATTTTAACAAAAATCCACTTTCATCACTGCGTAATATATTACTTATTTCTGCTTCAAATGTCTTTATCTTGTTTGAATGAGGCACAGAGGCCATGAAATCGCAACACGCTCACATTACAAAAAAGAACCGAATCAACCGGCCTGCTATTTTTGACACTTCTCTTTAAAACACAAATTGAGCAACGAACTTTACATCAAATAAACTGTTGCCCAATCAGTGGCGACACTCAAATCACTGTTGTAGTTTGAATGGAGTAGGAGCCTCATGTACACTCATTGTTTGTTTTAAGTATTTGTTTGTTTGTCCGTCTACTTGTTTGTTCGCCTTCAAGCGAAGGCCGACACTAATGGTGTAATTTTCAGGCTCTTTGCCTCAGACTGAAAGACCAAGAGTTAAGTTTAGTTTTAGTAAGGTATTTATGGCGCTCGCAACAGTATAAGGTCATATGAGCGCCAAGGGGTGGATATCAACAGAGAAGTCCAAACAGGGAATCAGGCTCTCTCTGCTCACCTCTCTAGCCTCAACAGCACAAAGTTGTGCTTCGACTATCAAGGCACCCCGGAAACAGCAGTTCTCAAGATGGTGACAAACATACAAAAGAAGTAAAGGGGAAATAACGACAGTAAGGATGAGGTAAGAAAAAAGCAGCAGTTGCTCCTTTGTTGATTCGGAACAGTACGAGCATGACATTGATAAGTCAGCCCATTTATAATTCTAGTGTGCATACGAACATGTTAATATCCCCCTTTGGGAATGGCCTAAAGACTCTTCAGTCAGTGGCATTGCCATGTGGGGGGGGGGGGGGGGCACTGAGAGTTTGGTTCTCACAAGCGGGAGACGTTTTACGGTGTATCTCAGTCAGTCGGCTCGGCTGTATAATTCACTGCCTGGGTCAGTCGTGGCGGACAGAGTGGAAGCAGCCCGCCTCCTAAACAGTCCCAACTATACCGGTAGGGGAAATCTTATACTAACATTAAGTTTACAGTCATTATTGAGAACACCATTAAGTACAACAGAACCAGCATCTGTGGTGTGGCGGTTAGACTCTTTTCCGTCGTACGCAGGTGTTGACTTGATATATGCCCGAAAGAGGGAGGTATTTTAAAAATTGAGTATCTCCGTCATGTTGGAGACTTCGTTTTCGACTTGTGACTACAAACTTACTTTTGAGCCAGTTATGATCACCGATCCCTTGCGTCGATTTCGGAATCGATTTTTTTTTGCGTCACCTCTTCCGTTCGCCTAATGCAGTCCTTTGAAATAGATGAAATTTGCGATTCTGAAGGCTTACCGTGAAAGTGAAACTTCGAATAGGAGAAATATTTTGGTTTAATAATATCGTTTTGCAGCTGGGTTGAAAATATCTTTTGTTTGTCCTTTAATGCGCTCCCTTGGAGCACGTTTCAAAACGTACATAGCGTGTAAATAAGTCCTTCGCTACCTCCTCATCTTCGGCAGGGTTGGGTTGATTTAAATCAGGTTGATTTAAATCAGTTGATTTTTTAAAATTTAAATCAAGTTGATTTTTAAAATAAAAATAGTGATTTAAATCACTTAAAATTTTTTATATTTTTATTCAGTTTTTACACATTTCAACATTCAGAATTCCTTTCCTTGGTTTCATAAAACAGATATAAGGTTTAGTAGACTGATATAATCATGCTTAAAAGTCTGCTTTCCCCCTTTCACTGTAAAATAGATCTAATACAGTATTCAATTTACTTTTTTTTCCATAATTGAAATCAGAGCTGGGTTGATTTAAATCAGCTGATTTTTAAAATTTTAATCAACTTGATTAAAAAAAAAATCAATGATTTAAATCACTTTTCAAAAAATGTAGGCCTATTCAGTTTTTACATATTTAAACATTCAGAATTCCTTTCCTTGGTTTTATTAAACGATATAAAGTTTAGTAGACTAACATAATCATACTTAAAAGTCTTCTTTCCCCCCCCCAGTCACTGTAAAAATAAAATAATACAGTTCTCAATTTACTTTTTTTTCATAATTGAAAACCAGAGTTGGGTTGATTTAAATCAGGTTGATTTAAATCAGTTGATTTTTTAAATATTTAAATCAACTTGATTTTAAAAATAGAACTCAGACTCAGTGATTTAAATCACTTTTAAAAAATGTATTCTGTTTTTACATCTTTAAACATTCAGAATTCCTTTCCTTGGTTTTATAAAACAGATATAAGGTTTAGTAGACTAAAATAATAAAAGTCTGCTTTCCCCCCTGTCACTGTAAGTAGTAAAATAATACTGTATTCAATTTACTTTTTTTTCATAATTGAAATTAGCATTTTCTTTTTCTTTTTAGACAAACACAAGCACGCGCACACACACACACTGTAATAAAATGCGAGTTTATCTATGCATAATTACCCCCCCCCCCTTCCTTTTAGACTGACATTTTCTTCATTTTTCTGTTTGCAGCCATAACTCACTGATATAGCAGATTAAGGCTTTCTAAAATTGCAGATGCTTAAATTAATCATTAGTTAAAATAAAGACAATGCATTTTGCACTAAAAGAACTTACTTTTAGCCTCCAAAAATCCCAAACTGTGTCGACATTTTTTAAAAATAAATTTTTTTTAAAAAATCCGATTTAAATTTTAAAAAATCTGATTTAAATTTAAAAAATCGATTTAAAAAATTTTAATTTTAAAAAATCAAAAAAATCACCAACCCTGATCTTCGGATAGTCTACAATCCAAATCTAAAAATACTGCAAAGGCAGAGAAAACCATTCTAAAAAACCCCAAAACAAAACAGGTGTGTATGGTTGAATTGAACTTTTCTCTCACATTCATTGACCAACTTCTGTTTGATCCTGCCGTTAACTGTAATCGTGTCTTTGCCTGATTACTACACGGTGAAATAAATAAGTTACCTATTCAACTTGTTCAAATGGGGGTCGGGTACTACACCATCTGGTCCAAAAGGGGCACAACAATCATTTTGGGGTGCACTATCCCTCTCATCCCTGTTGGCTCTGACAGGAAGCGTGGGAGCAGTCCGCCTTCATAATGTATAACTCTATACTGTGATGGTGGGGGCGTACAACACTTCCAATGACAATTTATTTCTCAGAGGAAAAACCAGTTGGTGACATGGACGGTGGAACACCATAGCTGAAGACAACCCCCACTACCGCCAACATCCCGCTTATCCACCCGAACCACTTCTTCTTCTATCTATCTATCTATCTATCTATCTATCTATCTATCTATCTATCTATCTATCTATCTATCTATCTATCTATCTATCTATCTATCTATCTATCTATCTATCTATCTATCTATCTATCTATCTATCTATCTATCTATCTATCTATCTATCTACCTATGGAGAGAGAGAGAGAAAGAAAAGAGAGAGAGAGAGAGAGAGAGAGAGAGAGAGAGAGAGAGAGAGAGAGAGAGAGAGAGATAGACAGATTTAAAAAATCATACTGATACAATACATTATATAAAAGTATGTCTATACAATAAACATAAATAGATCTTGATATACTATACATATATCAAAAACTAGATCTGATAAGTAATATTTAGATAAAACTATTCGTTATCTATTTCTTCAGAGCCCACTCACACAGTGTCCACGTGAGCCGTTATAAACTTCGGGTTGTTCAAGACTTTATCACCCGTTACGCAAAGAAATGAAAGGAAACTGAGACAATTGAGAAGGTCCGGACGTTCCTAGAGTACAGTAGAAAGCCGAGTCATTATAGAGCAGAGAGAAAAGTTTTCTTCTTACTTCTCTCAGCCTTATCCTTCCTACAGTATTTCTTTGGTTAGTTCATGGACAATATAAAGATATCATAGAAAACTGTCACCACAAGTACACATGGACTGGAGTTTCAGATGAGAGTAGACACACCGTCAACTTGTTCACATTTACCTCCCTAACATTAACTCAAACATTAAAGCGCCATTAACACCGAATCTCAATCCCTACACTCTACACTATACCTCCACCAAGCCCACTCAGTGAACACGTTAGCCGTCAAAATATTGGGGTGTTTCAAGACTTTATCACCCGTTACGTAAAGAATGGAGAGGAAACTGAGACATTTGAGAAGGTCCGGACGTTCCTAGAGCACAGGAGAAAGCGGAGCCATTATAGAGCTGAGAGAAAAAGTTTCGTACTTTGTAGATAGGATGTAACGTGAGTTGTTGATGTTTGAAAATATCCCTTTCTGTCTATTTCTACTGTCAGTAAATTATGGCCTGTTGTGTGAGAAAGATAATTGTAATTTTAGTTGGGATATGTTGTTATCGTGAAATCGGTGAAATTCAAGTAAAGAACAAATGCATTTCTGATCACTGCGTGGTGTCCTTTAAAATAACTCGTGTAGGGAAGCCCAAACTGAGATACCGCAAAATATCAACCCGGAAAACGGACATTGATCATGAAGAGTTTGGAGCGGACATTCGCCAGATACTAAAATGTATACACGGTTCAACCTTCAAGAAGGTAGACACTTTCAACACCAAGATGTGTCAACTACTAAACAAACATACACCAGTCAAATCCAGAACAGTGATTGATCGACATGCTGCCGCGTAGATGGCTTTGGAAATTAAACAATCTAAAATAGAACGTAGACGAGCTGAGAGACGCTGGAGATCAACCAAGCTGAAAATTCATGAGGACATTTATAGACACACTAACAACAGAGTGAAATCGTTAATAACATCTGCCAAATTCATGTATTATAACGGAAAAAATAATGAATGTACCACCTCTAAAGCTTCATTTTGTATAACAAATCAGTTGTCTGGTAAGAAAGATCCGGCCAGCAACAAGTTTCCCACGAATGTACCTAAAAGTGACCTTCCTGATGTTTTTGGTCAATACTTTAAGGACAAGATATCAACGATTAGGAAACAAATAGACATGACTCCCCATAAACTACCACGTTTTGAAACATTCAAACAAACAAACAAACAAAAACAAGAGACAAAAGTAAACCCCAAAACGGTAAAGGTTTAGTTGAGGTCTCTTCTTAAAATGAGTGAAAAATAGTCTTTCACGCATGGCGTCATGGCTTCTGACACGTTGGCCTCATAGCAAGTAAAGACCCCTGGTGTTCTTTAAAATTAAAGTAAGCTCCGAATGGTGACCTCAACTACAGTGAAACCTCGTTATATCACCGTCCGTTACACCGCCAGCCCCGATAACGCCAGGCTTTGTCAATGAACGAAAAGGAACGCCAATATAAACAT